TGTGTATTGTCTTCTTCTGAGACATGTCAGCTCAAGTCTCCACTGGTCCTCAACTCCTCGCCTTTCCTGCTTCTCTCTGTTGTGTGCCTCCTCCAGGCATACCTCCCTTCTTCCTAACCCTGATGCCGTCTGATGAATCAGGGTGGGGGCAACCATCCTTTTCTCTTTTCTGCCAGGGGTTCACACATCCCCAGGAATGTTCACCTAGTAGGGCGCTGTTTGGGAACCGGAAGCCAAAGACCCTGGTAACTCTGAAAGTCCAGCCTCTCATAGAGAAGGTAACAGTTTAGGGACTTTCCAAGTATAAAAGATTGAAAACCTTGTCACGTCTTTAGAGCTTCACACTTGGGTGGAGTCAGGAATTCCCCAGGAGGGCTTGAAGGGCCCCAGTTCTGTGCTTAGCCCTGACCCTAGCCTGGCCTTCCTGATCAATATGGGCCCAGCTCACAGGAAGTAGACTAGGCCCAGACAGAGCAGGCAAATTAAACAGTTCCCTCCTCCCTAACTGAACCAGACCAGGGGACTGGAGTCAAGCTGCCAGCTCTCCAGTTCCTCAGCTCAGGCCAGGGACTACAGATAATAGTGCCTTCCCCCTGTCAAGAGAGGCCACTCCCACCTTTGTGGCCCAGCCACCTTCTCCCCATGAAGCATACTTCCACCTCCACCTGAGTCCATATCTCCCCTGGAAACCTATTCACCATGTGGAGCTGGTTTCTGGGAACCTTTGAACTTTTCCTTCTGCAGATTCCCAGAAACTCAAGTTTCCATTGAGCAAGACACCTTACCCGTACCACCTGCCTCCCTCCACGCTCATCAGTCTGGCAGCCTCAGGGGTCATACTAAGGTTAAAGTGTCCTGCATTGTCTTAGTTCTATGCGGACTCCAACACAATACTGGCTGTAACAATGGCTGACATTATACTTGTCCAGTTATAACAATAGCTGACCTTTGGGTGAAGCTAGACAAACACCAGCCGCAGAATACAAAGAGTGTTTGCAAACCTCACGTTGTCCAACCATGTGGACACGGAACGCATTCTGCCCCTTCACATGTGCTGAGACGGTGCCTGATCCTCAGGCCACCTCTTTGTAACATCCATCAGAGACAAATGGAGGCTCTGAGGCCGAGATAGCACCCACAGGAACCCCAGAATTAGGGACTAGATACATACTCTTCATTATATTGTATTCTCTATCAGTCCTGGCTGTTAAACACTGATTCCCAACCCCCACACCTTGGCAAACCCTTTTCTGCTGTCTGTTTCAGAATGTAATTGTTCTGGCTGCTTCACATAGATAGGCCACATATTTATCCCTTTGACGCTGGCTAATGTCACTTAACATAATGCTCCCAAATCCGCTTGTGACATGTGTCTGAGTCTCCTGTTTGCTACAACTAGATACCATCCAGAGCGTGGATTGACCGCATTCATCTGTTTTGGAGTTGGTGTGTGCTGCTATGTATGTGGGGGCAGAGGTCTCTGTTGGAGTGCCTGCCTCTAGTTTTGGGCGAGCCCCCTGGTCATATATATGGTAACTAATGAACTTATTTAGGGCATCCAGGGGATGTCTACAGCCGTCATTTTCATTGCCCCCAGCTCAGGGCAGGCCTGAGCTTCTCTTTCCTCCTCAGGCAAACACTTGGCGCAGTTGGTGTGCCCTTCCCAGAAAGCAGGGTTCTGCTCTGGATTCTCTCAATGGACTCTCCTCCCAGGCTTTCTTCCCTCAGCATCTCCATCACCTCTCTGGGAAGTCAGGAGATGTTTTCTCTTGCAGAGCCCTGTAATTATTGTTTAGTTAGCTAATCCTGCCCTTAGGGGTTCGCCCTCTACCTGAAGAAACAAGCCTATTCTCCTAAGAGGGTTCTCATTTGCCTCCAAACCACCAGTGTCCACAGGCAGCACAGGAGTCCGAGGGACAGCACTGGCTCTCTCAGAAAGGCTGCCTCCACTACCTCACATCTCTGGAGACCCTACAATCCCCCTAAGCCCCTGACTGGTGGCATCTCTACCCGTTTCATCAGGTGCTATGCCCTGATTGTGGGATCACTGGAACAGCAAACCACAGCTGGGAATCCAGCCTGTGCCTGCCTCCCCAGAGGGAGGGCAGGCCACCCTGGGGTTGGGGTGGAAAATAAGTACATTCTACACTGAGCTCCAGAGGACAGTATTTGACCTAGGCTCAGCTGAGTTCTCTAGACTAGAGTCTTAGGACCAGTGCACCAGCCTAGATGCTCCCATGGGTCCTTCCTGACGGGAAGGGAAGAACTTGGCCACAGGCAGCTGCTGCCCTAGGGTTGCTATACACAGCTTCTTGTCTGGTCTGGAGACCTCATCAGTCCCTTCTTGGAGAAGCGGGTCGGGGAATGGAAGTTTGGGAAGCTTTAGTGACTGGTTCAGCTAGCAGGTGGGAGGGGCACCCTTGCAACAGGGTTTGCCCCAGAAGGCCACTACCTCCAGGCCCTGGGAAACCCACTGCTTGACCCAGAGGTATCTAAGTGCCACCATTCCCAGAAGTGCTGGGCCTGAGATAGTTTTCTCTTCTATATGAGAGGACCAGGGAAGAGACGGGCAGCCAGCAAAGTGCAGGGAGCCAGGGGTCGGGGCACAGATCTTGCCATTCATGTTATCCACAGTGACCTGTGTCCTTTAGACATGGCTAAAGAATTTTAATTTTACAAGCCTTTCAGCCATGTGAACCTGGAGAGCATGATGGGAAGTGAAATAAGCCAGTCACAGAAGGGCAGACACTGTAGGGTCCTGCTCATGAGGGGAAGGGACGGGGTCCCCTAGAGCCATCTGGTTCATGGAGATAGACAGTGGAATGGGGTTGCCAGGGTTGGAGGAAGGGGGTGGGATTTTTTTTTTTAACGAGCACATCTTTTAGTTGACAAATATGGGACAATTCTGGCATTGAGTGGTGACAATGGTTGCACAGCAATGCATGTCTTTGAAGCCACTGGACTGTGTGCTTCAAAATGACCAAGATGATACATTTTATGGTATATAGATTTTACGTTTTTGTAACGTGTTAAAGACTTTATATGAAGTCTTAGCCCTTCACATTTGAGAAAAAAAAAAGATTTATTTAATTATATAGTGTGTGTGTGTGTGTGTGTGTGTGTGTGTGTGTGTGGAAGAGGAAGAGGGAGAGAGAGAAGAAGAGAAAGGAAGAGGGGAAGAAAGAGAGAGAACACTGAATGCTCACTAGTGAGTGGAGTCACTAATTTTCTTCATGGAAATGGGCTGTATTTCCAAACCTAGAGGAGAAAGTGAGATTTGCATTCATTTGCTTAACCACAGGGGCGGGGTCCTCCTGAATCTCAGGGCTCTTTGGGCTCCTAGCACCTGGACAGCTGAGTCTGAGGACAGAAAAGGCATTGAAACAATAGACGCTTGCAGGCGTAGGCAGCAGCGTCAATGGCAGGATGGAATTGGGTCTCAGGTCAAGTAGAAGCAGCTGGTGGCCTGTCTGAGTGAGCAAGCTTTATTAATGGGACACTGCTGCCCACGAAGCCTAGTGAGAACGCAGCTGCATTCCTCCCCTGCCGAGTCACAACTGTGAAGCCAGGGGACACCTTGAAGCCCTCGGAGTTCCTGTATCCTAACTAGCAAAATACAGACCTTCACGGCAGGTGCCTGCAGTACCGCAGGTCTGGTGTGGAGATGGATTTTGCAATGTGCTGCTAAGAGGAGTTCTGAGTACATCCCTTTCTTAATAGAAAACAGAGATGCTGAAGAAACATCAGAAACCCGCTACAGGGTCCCAAGCTTTGATCAGCCTCGTACCTTAGGCTCCACTCTACCTAAGGGGCAGAACGGAGTTGTCAGTCTCATGGGTAGCCACAATCTGAGCCCCTACTCCAGCTTCAGGGCCTTTTGACAGTTGACTTTAACTTCCCCATCTGTGACCTGTAGCATAGTAAGCTACATAGTGAGCATTTACTCCTCAGGCTATCGCGAGGATTTAGTGTGTTAGCTGTGCCTGGTTCATAGTAAGTATCAGTTTGTTTTTTTCTTTTTGATGGGCTCTTAGGAACCTTTATTAAGATACATATCAACAAGTCATTGTAAGATGTCTGATGAAAGAAAAATAACAGGTTGCAGAGTGAGGGAGAGTCACATGACCACCAGTAGGGCGTTACATCCCAGTATATGGTCCACACCCCTGTGCATGTGGTCAGCACTAACTGGACTCAGAGTTACTAATCACACTTTCTTTTTTTTTTTTTTTTAAAAAAAAAAGGAGGAAATGAATTTGAAAGTTAGGGTGGGAAGACACTCGGGAAAATTGGAAGACGGTAGTAGTAGTAGTAGGCGGATATGATGACAATACACTGTAAAGTGTCTGAATTTCTAAATAGCAAAGCACATTGTGCCAGCCCACTCACGGGACCTAATGGGGACAGTCCCAGTAAAAAGCCCTCATTGTCCTGCCCACCTCATCTCTTCTTCCCTCGCGGAAGCTATGGTGTCCATTACTCTTTGCAGTCTCACTCCACCTGAGCATCCTCTTGAACACCGAGGGATGGGACTGAGCTGCAGGTGACTGTAAGCTAGGACCGGCCTGTCGAAGGACATAGACGTGGGGGCTGGAGAGATGGCTCAGTGGTTAAGAGCATTGCCTGTTCTTCCAAAGGTCCTGAGTTCAATTGCCGGCAACCACATGGTGGCTCACAACCATCTGGAATGAGGTCTGGTGCCCTCTTCTGGCCTGCAGACATGCACACAGACAGAATATTATATACATAATAAATAAATAAGTTTGTTTTTTTTTTTTAAAAAAAAGGACGTAGACGTAATTGCTAGCCTGGCACAAAGCTTCATTGGACCATGACACCTTTCCATGTCACCGCAGTGTCCTTTCACCTCGCTGGCCTAGGAACGCTGACCCTGGAACTGTACCTGTTGGCAGACAGGCCTGTTGATGAGTCCTCAGCAGAGCTGACAGAGCTGCAGGCCTCCCGCCCCTGCTGACCCATGTCTGGCCTTGCCCCTCCAGGCAGAGATGCGGCTCCAGGACCAGCAGCTGGCCAGGCAGCTCATGCGCCTCCGTGGAGACATCAACAAGCTGAAGATTGAGCAGACCTGCCGCCTGCACAGGAGGATGCTCAACGATGCCGCCTATGAGCTGGAGGAGCGCGATGAGCTGTCCGACCTCTTCTGCGACTCCCCTCTGGCGTCCTCCTTCAGCCTTTCCACACCGCTCAAGCTCATTGGCGTCACCAAAATGAACATCAACTCCAGAAGGTTCTCTCTCTGCTGAGAAGCCTTGGGATGGAAGGGGGGGACCAGAGCCAAGGGCTGGGGGCAGGGGCTCAGACCGAGTTACTGGAAGCAGGTCTCCCTGAGGACATGCTGGGAAACGGAAGGCCCCCGGGGCATCAGCTTTGCATACCTGGGTCTTCACATTCAATTCCCGAAGAGTCTACAGACACTATGTAAGACAGGGGTCTCGGAGACATCCCTGTGGCCTGCTCCCCTCTGTGGCCTAAAATCATTGGTGCTATGATGTTGGATCCCAGAGGGGTCTCACACACACACACACACACACACACACACACACACACACACACAGCTTGTTCGTACAGAAAGCTCCCCTCTGAGGAAGCTGGGAAGATTAAATGTGTAAGGCACCCTCATCTCTCATGTGCTGTTACCATCCTTTCAGTCCTAGCTCTAATTGCTCCTAAGTAGGTGACTCAGCAGCCTGAACAGGGATGCGCTAGGACAAGCAAACCTAGAGGAATAACGAGGTGGCACGTGGGAACGCAGGCTTCTCTTTGATGGGCGCCAGCATCCCTGGGAGGGAGCTCCGCCCTGTGACTTTGAACTACAGCCTTAATGCTACAGGGCCATGCTGTTTCCAGCTTGCTCCATGACACATGACGCATGTCCCTTGTATAGCTTCAGTAGAGGGACCCAGACACCCTGCTGTCCAGGCTAGCTCCAATTACAACCACTTCAGCTTTTTCTCTGCCACTCACAACCCCAGGGGAGCACCTAGCAGTCCGCTGGTGATTAAACCAGGCAGATAGGAAACAGATTTCCCCCAAGTAAATTCTACTGTAGCAGGCATGACAGAGGCCTTCCTGGTGGAACCTGATGGTGTCACACACAATACCTTATCCTCAGCACCAAAGACCCCAGGGAGTCCAGAAGCCCGCCCCTAGTCTCTCTTCAAGACCGTGCCTGACCCAAACAGTGAATTTTAATTGACCATGACTGTTAACTAATGTGTTGCTAACTCGTTAATACCCGTCTGATTCTTGTCCAAACTGAGAACCAATTGAGTAAGCCAAGCAGAGTTTGGGGTTTAGTTTTGAGAGTTTTTTTTCCCCCCTTAGGAGAAACATGGAGATCAGCAAAATGTTAAGTTGATCGGTTCAGGGAAGACCTAATACAGCACATCCGGCCACATGTAATCCTGTTGACACAAGTTTCTCAGACACTGGGTGTGTCTAGTGAGGCCGGCTCATTAGCAGAGGGGCCAAAGGGAAGCCAGGAATGAGAACAGCTTCCCTCAAGTCACCTGGCTGCTTAGTAGCTGTAGAATACTAAGGTGTGAAATTACCATGAGTCAGGCCTAGACGGATCTCCTGTCAGTGAACTTAAACTCCAAGAGATGATCCTGATGTTCTGCCAAACCCGTAAGTTGCCAGCTTCTCTCCCTGTCCCTTTCAAGACCCCACCCATTCTCCCCACTTTGCAATCCGAAGTCTTGGGGGAAGGGGAGACGCATGATGCCCGGATGGTGGACCCTCGGCACTTCCCATCTGTCATGGTCCTGTAGTCTACACTTCTGTCATGGTCCTGTAGTCTATACTGACTGCTCTCTGTGTATATAATGCTTTTTCTCCCTGGAATCCCAATTGGCTGTGTCCACACACACCATAACACACCCAGGGAGAGGCTATGGGAAGGTGTAACTGAATGGTCACGTATGACTGAACGGTCTCTTCCTTGTGATTTCAGAGCCAGGCAGTTTGTGTTTCTTTTTTAAAAGGTAGAATAAGATAGCCAAGATTGTTTTTTAAAGCCCTGAAGTCCAGAGGCCTTGACCTCAGTCCCTTCCTTAGAGACCACATAAAACACTGCCAAGTCCCCAGAGGCCTCAGCACCTCTCAGGACCTCCTGACTCCAGCCTCCCGCTGGCTGTCCCTCACACACCACGTCGCAGAGAACACATGAGAGAAGGCCCATCCCATATTCTAAAAACAAGGCCAACCTGGTAAGAAATTAATCATTAGCCATGCTACCATGTCCTTAATCCCAGCACTCAGGAGGTGGAGGGGGGAGGAAAAGGAGTTCAAGGCTAACCTATGATACATAGTCAGTACTTCAGGCCAGCCTAGGCTACGTGAGACCACGTCTCGAAAACACAAAAAAGGAAAAGATGTCAGTCATTACAGAAACTGGCACCCTCAGCTTAAAGCAATTGAACTGGATGGGGTCAGCAACTAAATATGTGATTGAGCAGCTTGTGCTCAGTTAGCCCAGCATCTTCCTCCTACTTCTGTTCTCTGAGGAAACTTTGTCCCAGGCATGGATTTGAATAGGTTAGGTGCCTCAGCTTAGGCTGTTCATCTCAAGTTCATCCTGGGATGAAGACGGAAGGTGGGGAGGTGAGGGTGGGGTCACAAAAGTGGAGCGGAAAGTCATTTTATTTTCTCACATGCAGTTAGTATCTGTTAGTCCCCGGCCTTTCATGGTGAGCACAAGTCATTAACTGTTCATTCTGTTTGTAGAATCCATGCAGAGATGTCTGTAGGTCAGTGGCAACATTAGCAGCCTTCCTCAGCCGGTTTCCGGGCTTACCGTTGTACACAGTCTAGTTTGCTGTTTCATCATTAACCATCTCCATGCCCCCCCAAGTCTCTCCACCCCACTGTGAGACACGAAATATCCACTGTGCTGCCACAAGGCCATGCCCATTGCCTGCTTGGACTCAGTAGCAATCACAGAGCCCTAGAGGCCCTGGGCGGGCCTGGTTGTAACCTGGTCTCATCCAAGATCTGCCCCTGTAGCAATACCAAGTGCTATTACATAATCAATGGACAATTTACAATTTTATTTTTATGATTATTTGTTTCTATATTACTGTTAGAAAAAGTGAAATAAAAATATTTCAAAAGAAGATATCCAGATAGAGACATTTATTTCCTTTTTCTTGTCATGATTACAGCATACATAAGACCAGGACCATAATTGGATGAATGATGGATAGATGGATGGATGGATGGATGGATAAATGGATGATTTGAACAATTAGTTGAAGATGTAGGAGGGAGGAAAAGATTCTCCAGGACCTTCCTCCAAGAAGGGCCACTCGGAGGTGGTTACCATGGAGTTCCATCCAGTAGGCTGTGTGAGCATACCTCATGTAGCCATTCTGTCTGCATTTGATCAAAGTCAAAGGAGAAGCAATCCTTTCCCTTCTATTGTGGTCTTCCTGAGCTGATTCTACTAGGCAATATTATCACTGTGTTCTGGGGGAGGCTGGAACTTCAGAATGCTTCAGCCTCTCACCCTTAACCCTGCAATCGGTGTACAAGAGCGCTGTGGCGATGCCCCTGAAAACACACTCTGGAGACGTGGATTCTGGCTGCGCAGTTCCAGAGCTGAGGATCTGCTCTTCCTCGTGCCCCGGAAGACCAAGGGTGCCAGGATCTTGAAACAGTCCTGTCTTCACAGCCTCAGAAAGGCTGTATCAGAGGCCAAGGTGGGTCAAGAATTCCCTTATGTGGAACACCTCTCAACAGCTCCAGAAGACTGAGCAGCTGTGACTAGGCTCTTTCAGAAAGCACACACAGCATGAAGATCAGCAGTTGTCAGCCTTCCGAACGCTGCAACCCTTTAATACAGTTCCTCATGTTGTGGTGACCCCAACCATAAAGTTATTATTGTTGCTACTTTATAATTGTAACTTTGCTACTGTTATGAATTGTCAAGTTAGTATCTTGTTTTCTGGTAGTCTTAGGTAATCCTTGGGAAGGATCATTTGCCCCACCCCCAGGGGTCAGCACCCACAGGTTGAGAACTGATAAGGTGACTTGTGGCTATGAGGAAGTACAGGGCACTCAGACATCCACCACTGAAGTCGAGCATGTTGGTGTATGCATTTAATACTAGAGTCCAAGAGGCAGAGTCAGGTGAATTTCTGTGAGCTGGAGGCCAATGGGGTGAATTTAATTTATTTAGTGAGTTCAAGATCAGTCAGTGCTACACCGTGAGACCCTGCCAAAAAAACAAACAAAAACAAAACAAAACAAAAAAACCAGAAAATCTACCATCACAATGATCATGCAACTCAAAGGACACATAGAAGCTACACACTCTTTCACCCCAATGCCCAGGATGCAAGTCCACTTCAACACAAAGGAAAACTAACATGTGCTTTAAGTAAAACAGCAAATGTAAGGGCAGAAGGCGACAGGAAAAGAGCAGTTCAACAATCACCTTCATGCTGGAACCTGGTAGCTACTCTGTTCTCTTAGCTGGATGCCTCTGCCATCCCCATCAGACTCAGAAAGCCTGGAAGCTCTTTGGATATCTGCTGGCATTGACTCTGATGTGGGTGACGTGGGTGGCAGCTGGCCACAGCTTCACAGGCCGGTGTGAGGACCACAGAGGAGACACATGTGGGAGCGGGGAGATTGCTTAGTTGGTAGGGTGCTGGTTGTGTAAGCTTGAAGACCTGAGTTTAGACCCCAGAACCCACATAAGGAGCAGGGTTAGGTCGAGACAAGAGGATCTCTGGGCTTTGCTGGCTAGTCTACTGAAATGATAAAGTCCAGGTTCAGTGAGGGACCCTTCTTCAATAAATAAGGAGGAAAGAGACTGAGGAAGACAGCAGTGGTTGACCTTCAACCTTCACATGTTTATGTATGTGCCACACACACACACACACACACACACACACACACACACACACAAAATGAGCCAATGTGCCCTGTATGGAGAGATAGCTCTAACTAGTAAAATCTCTACATGTACAATTCTCAAAGAAGTTGGTGTTAGAGCTGAGTCATGGCCATGAACAGACCAGGGCAAAAGGCTAGAGACAGAGAGACAAGGACACAGACAGGAGGAAAGACATGTTCTCTGAGAGGGAGAGGGAAGTGAGGCCAGAATGCCTAGTGACTGCAGGAGCTAGGGGCAACTCTCACCAGCCTCTGGGACCTCAGGAGTTCAGGCTTTCTTTGGGTAGTACAGGAAGTGTCTTGAGGTTTTTGAGTGGTAGACGATCCGAGGTTAAACCTTATCAAAATCTAAGAGGAAGGCACTTAACTGGTGGTATGTAGAAAGCAGAGCTAAGGGGATGGGAAATGGCTTAGTCAGCAAAGTGCCTGCTTTGCAAGCATGGGGACCTGAGTCTGACTTCCCAGAACCCGGCTAAAAAGGCAGGTGTGGTAGTCTGTGCCTATAACCCCAGCACTGGGAAAGCAGAGACAGGCAAACCCCTGGGGGTTCACTATCTATCCAACCCAGCCTAATTGGCATGGTCTAGGTCCCAGGAAGAGATCCTGTCTCAAAATACAAGGTGGGTGGCACTTGAGTAACAACATCTCAGGGGACTATGCATAGCCCCCCCACAGACATACACGCATGCACACACAAGAACGTAGAAGCAAGATGGCACAGAAGAGCAATTAGAAGGTAGCGATCCGGATAGGGCAGTAGCTGTGGAAGGTTGAGCATAATCTCTCTAATGTGTATTTTGGGGAGCAAGCCTGCTGAACTGCACAGGGCGGTGGTGGAACACAGGTGTTCACAGGTGCTAGCCAGACTACGGAACATGAATGTGAGCTCTCAGAAGTGTTGCAGCCGGTTGTTCAACAGAAGCCTAGATGCAGCTTCATCAGGCTGGGCCGACCGCCTTAAGTGTGCTCTGGGAGCTTTTGTCGCCAGCCCAACCTGCAGCCTCCACCTTCCAGACCTCACTGGCTGTCTGGATTCCGGGGAATGTGGATCGACGCCATAACCTTTCCTCCTCCTACGTGAATACAGAGGATTCCCCTCTTGTTCATTCTCCATATCAGAACCCGGTTGTCTGTGGTTGTGCAGGCTTGGGGGAAAGACGGAGCTGCCTTACCCTGAGGAAAATGGCCATGCCGACGGGCCTGGTCCCCAGGTCCTAGCTGATGGGTGCTGCTCAGAGAGAAGGCGACAGATGTAGCTATTATGTAGTTGCCCTGTTCCTAGGCACAAGACAAATGGCCACAGGAAGATACAGAGGAAGGGAAGCCTCAGAGGGGTATAAAGGCACTGGAAGTGGTCACCCCACTTGCCACAAGGAAGTGTGCCCTGCACATGTGATTTCCATCACCTAGGATGGTACAAGACTACAGGGGCCCCGCCTCTCAAGAGATGTGCCTAAGTCACGTTAAAGAGAAAGTCCCACACTGCTTGCTACGTACCCTCTTCTTATAGGGATGAAGAGGTACTTGGGAAGGGACACTCACCAAGGAGGTGATGAATATCCAGTGAAAATGAGCAGAAATGTGAGGTCAGGCCCCTGCTCCCTCCAGCTGGACTCCAGCTAGGCCTGAAGTGTCTCACAAAATCACCCCCTCACCAAGTCTACACCCCCAAGCCTTGCTGGGAAGGGTCACTAGGGGCTAGTGGTAGGATACCTAACCTCTCTACCTGCCCACCTTGATGGGTCAAGCCCTTGGGTGGGAAAACGGGAAGCTACTCCAAGACTTCCGGGAAGGGAAAAGGGAGGGGATTGCGGGGAACTGATGGCTTCTGGAACCGTAAGAAAGGCTAAGAAGGGGAGTCAGGGAAGGCCGCCAGAGGAAGTGACCCCCGGAACTCTCCTCACTGGGGTGTGGCCTCGCAGGGACAGCAGGTAATAGTAGGCTTTTCTGGTGGGTGGGACTCATTGGCTTGGGGCTCCCCTACTGGGTAGTGGAGTTCCCTGAGTTCCCCCGGAGTTATTGCTAGACTCCACCCTGTATCTGTCCTGGGCCTGCTGTGGCCACTGGGAAACAGTGGTTATACCTGGTGTCACAAACTGGACTTCAGTCTCCCAAGTTCAGATGCTGAAGCACTGAGGACCTCAGAATAGATATATCTGGAAAGGAGGCCTTCATGGGGAGAGAGATTAGAGTGAAGTCAGAAGTGTGGGTGTCTTTATTTCTAAAAAGGTGATTTGGACATAGACACATGGAGGGAGGTCAGGTGAGGACGCAGGGATAAGATGACCTTGGCAAGCCCCAGAGGGAGGCCTGGGGAGGACCAGCCTTGCTCCCTCTTGGCTTTCAGAGTCGTGACAATAGCAGTTACCATGGGAGCCGCCCGCTCTGGGGTATTTGTGCTAACAGCTGTGGTGGATAGCCGTGGCTCTCACTCTGACACAACCTGGACTCACCTGAGAGCCTCAGCTGAGGAACTGTTTTTATCCGGTTGGTCCACGGCCATGTCTGTAGGAGTGTCTTCATTGTTCATTGATGTCACCCGGCTCACTGTGAGAGTCACTATTTCAGCTCTAGGCATGTGGGCAGTGGAAAGTTAACAGGGTAAGCAGACAGCAAGGGCACAGTCTCCTCTCTCTGCTCTTGACCGTGGTATGAGGTGGTCAGTTGCTCGAGCTCCTGCCTTGACGTCCACGCAATGATAGACTGTGACCCGGAATCCTATGAACCCTTCCTCCTCTGAGTTGCTTGCATCCAGGATGTTTCGTCAGAGCAACAGAAAGAACCCAGAACAGCAAATCACCCAAAGCAGGACATCTGCTTTTCCTGCCTGGCCTTGCCCCCTCCCTCCCAACCGTGACTATCCATGGGGAGGTAAGCTGTGCCTCTTCTCGGGCCAAACATGACCTCAGAGGGGTGGCGAAGTGCATAGGTAACCAAGCCACAGCCGTGAACATCCAAGTGGTTACAGATGGGCCCTCAGTCCGGGAACAGACCAGAATCTTCCATCAGCTGTGGCCACAAAGGCTCTTGAGTGAGAAGACCTGACATGCGCTATGTCAGTCCCTGGCAGGCATCAGGACAATGTGGTTGAGTGTGGGAAGAAAAGATTGCAACTCCAGCTAGTGTTGTTAACTTCTTCCGCGAGATTTCAATGTGGATGACATCGGTATGGCAACTCGTTAAATGATACACGAATCGGGAGGACACACCAACCTTTT